TTCTGTCACACCTGAGGGCAAACCACAAAACAGGTTTGCTGCACCATTGAGAAAGATGTGCCCCAACTTCAAATCAAAGGGGTCAACAGTCTACAGAGAGAATACCCATCCCATCATCTTTTACTCCTACCCTGCACATCAGAACCAGAGTGTAATGTTAATGTTGAATATGGTGGCAGGGAGAATAAAAGAAGTAAATCATGCTTAGAGTTTTTAGTTCCTCTGAGTGGAGTGGTATTGTTTGAGAATGGTGAACATGCATCACTTTTGGTAATAGATGTGGTGTAAATAACAATTTTAGGGGAAAAAAACATGTCTTTGCATATGTGGTTGAGACTATAGGGAGACATCATCCTATTTTAAGTTAGAAGGGCTTTTTTGTTTAAATGTGAATTTTTTCGATGACCATGCATTTTATGTCCATTTCAATGCCGTTTATTCACGGTCCTTAAAATGTTACGTTGCTTTGTTCATTTCTAAAATAAAATGGTGTGTATGTACATGACACATTTCTCACACATCCTGAATTGTCGGAACTAAATAATAATGCACAAAAATAACACCCCAATTTTTGTAACATTAAGGATGGGTTGAAAAACATCTGCAGCACATACTACCTCAAGGATTAAGACTGTCAGCTATGTGACAGATGCCTGTGCCGCCGGTCTCCTCAAAGGCCCTCTGTTTTTTAGAGGAGTAAAACAGTTGTGGTGTTATATTCAGGAATCCCATTTTCCATGATAAAACAAAATTCTCGGATAAAAATCCAGTTTTTTTTTTTTTTGGCTATTTAAAATGAAAGGTTCCGTAGCCACAACATACATAGGTATCCCTTGAACACAATGTTTTACTGATATACAGTAGAAGCCCAGTTATTCGAGCCTTCATTATCCAGCTCTCTGGCTCCGGGCTAACAGCAGCTGGGACTCCGGTGGTCAGCCCTGAGCAGTTGCGGCACCAAGTCCCCCCGCCCCTCATAAAATAAGGGATAGAAAGCTCTTTGCCAATTCTCCTGATTATCCCAATTTTTGATTATTCGATCTGGCCTCGGTCCCAATTAGAATGAATAAACTGCGTTCCACTGTAAATTTAAAGTGCATTCAAAAATAGACCACAAGAGGGGGAGTTTGTAAGTGACACTGGTACTTTTAGTAAAATGTAGTTAATAGTTATGTTTTTATTTTTTCACAAATGAAAAAGTAAAGATTCTCTGTAAAAACGCAATTTCTGTGTTTTTCTGTGTCAAATGGATTTTTAGGATCCCTGCTAATATTCACTTATCTTTAGGTGCTCAGCAACTGATCTTATTCAAAACTATATTTTAATTTACTTTTATTTTTAAGTCAGGAATGTGTATATCGGAACCTGCTTTGGCCTCATGGTATAAATTAAGGCTACAGCCCTTTGGTTTTAGTGTGTGTGTGTGTGTGTGTGTGTGTGTGTGTGTGTGTGTATACACAATCTAAACTCACACATAGTAAGGTATGTGATTAAAGACTATGCTGCATAGAAGAACAGTGAAAATACAGTTCAAATAATACTTTGACAACTCTGTTTTTATTTTGACGTTCTATGACCGCACTTGTTTGTCTCTCAAGTATTGAAATATTGAAAGATTTCCGTTCAGCTGTAATAGATATTAACAAAACAAGGAACTCTGGTTGTTTGGTTTATTGAGATCTCTCACAGCTGTACCTAAACAGTAGAGAAGCAGGACTGGAAGGGCATCTACTGTTAAAGTAGTTTTAACAATCTTAAAATCTGCCCCTGCTTTCTGGACTGTTTTTGTAAAAAGCACATATACAAGGATTAATCTTGACATAGCATTCAATTTCCTTCAGGGATAACTTGCTGTAATGCATAGAGGGTGCAGCACTCTATCTAAACGAGGGGTTCGCGGACTTCATTGCACCATGACCCCCTTCTGACAACAAAAAATACTACATAACCTCAGGAGGGGGGACTGAAGCCTGACACCACCTGAGCCATGCTGTGGTGCTGCCCCAGGCAGGGGGGCCAAAGCTGACAAAGCCCTGTTCACACTGAAGTTTTTTTTCACACCCCTGAACGACAGATGTTTTACCGACAAAAGTCCAGTGTAGACAAAGCCTGACTACCAGGAATCGGAGGCTACAAACTATTCCACAGGAATAGCAGACCTGGTTGACTGCCTTAAAAGTGTACAAGTGTACGAGTGGGGTAGCTTAATCCTGCTGTACTTGCAATGATTGTACTTCAAGCAATAAGTTTTTTAATCTGGCTCTGTATTAACTGGCAGTAATGCACGTTAACAACTCACTCAGTGAGGCTTAGTGTTACTAATAGGGATTCTTAAGGAAATGTTGGGTGACTTTTAGTCTGTTGTTTGACCAATATTGAAATCCAAACTTTTTGTTGTATAGTCTGTTCCTCTTCCCTCCCTCCCTCCCCCCCCCCCCCAGAATTATCTTGATTGTCATGATTTGGGTACACGAATGCTTCCCTAGAATAAGTAAACATTATTTGGTTCCTTTTATCTGAACAAAAGCTTTACAGAATTATTTTTAAACTAATATTATCTGGAGTTGTGGTGAGCTGCAGGTAGCCTGACATCAAATGGCATTAGAGAGACATTGGGCTCAGAGTGGCCCTCAGAAAGTCAGGACTCCTAATTGAGGTAGTTCTAATACTGCCCGTAACCAGATATTTATTTCACTGTGTATTTTAATTGATGACACACCCATACGTGGTGTGCTGTTTTTGCTTTGGATAAGTCTTTGTTTAATAGACATAATTTTCATAACCCTTTTTATTTCTCCATCACTTCCCTCTTGCCCATTTCTGTACCATTAACCTCCATCAGAGCAGTGGGGAAGCAGACCCTTTATTTCTGCAGCAAACTTAGCTTTAACGGTAGTGAATTTATAAGTGTGATGGTGGTTGTTATTCCTGGGGCTTTCGTATGTGTTGTCAACATTCAGTACCGTAGCCCCTATCAGATTACAAACTCAGCGTAAGAAAAGGGGTGTGTATGTATATACACTCCTTCAGTGTATAACAGCAACACAACATCATTTTTATAGCTAGAGTGAACAGTTGAGAAAAATTTAAGTTTTCCCCAATCAAGAGGTAGTGGACAAGTGATACTGGTATAAGAAGACATGGTCCTTAAAAGTAGATTTGGAAGGCTTAGATTTAAATTAATAAATATTGACAATTTTATGATTTCTCCCCCCCCCCCATTTAAAAAAACCCCCACCCCCCTCCAGCGGATACTTAGTAGTTGGAACTGGAAGAAAGAGAAGTCTAAAAACACATGATATATTTCACTATTTGATGTCAGTTCTGTCTGTCATGTATTTAACTGGAAGTAATGAAATTGTTTTACAGTACAAATCATGTTTTCACAGTGGTATCTAAATTTCATTACGGGAGGTTTTTAAAATTTCTAGCCAGTGCAGAATATTAATTTGATTGAATGCAATCCTTGGAAATAAATACTACCAAGACTACTTAAACTAAATGAAGCACGTAGGCATGAACAGAGTTTGCAGACAGCATGTCACACACAACCAACATTCATGTAAAGGTAATCTAAGTAGTAGCAAACTGACTTTACAAACTTATTACACAAAAATGAATCAGTGATTGATCCCTCTGTAATTAGAAAACTTTATTTTAAGCATACATGGCATGTGAGCAAAGCTAATCTGTTGAAAGACTCAGAATTTATTTTTCTAATAATAAAATATAATTTCATATAATATAAATATTCCCTATTCACAACCTTGCGTGTAGGAAATTTTGGAGTGAGCACTGGGAATTTAAGGTGGGTGTTAATGGAAACTAGAAGCAAGATTACATAAACATCATAATATAATTCATAAAAGAACACTATTGCTTTGTTTTGGATGGTATATTTCACCAATTTGTCATGCCATACTTACTGTAAATGTTGAAGAGTATGTTAGTGCTCAGTATGTTGTCAACTGTAAGTGGATTTAATGAGTTGATTTACGTATTCCCACCCCCAAAAATCTCATTACAAGCATTCATAGTGACTCCTTCCTCAGGAACTCCCCAACATATCGTCACCTGTCTCTCTCCCAGATTGGAAGATATCTGGGGCAGGGGCCATCTTGATGTTTTGTGTCTTGGACACCAGCAAAGTATTCAGCACTGTACAACAAGTTGTTAGAACTCTTGCAGTGTTAAGCAGAAAATAAAACTGTATAAAAATTAAGCATACATTGAGATATGTTGCACTAAAAGTGAACAAGTGTAGATGCAAGAGTACAATTTTACATAGAATATTAATAATATACTGAAATACCAGTGTTGATGTATAATATAAAGTACACCTCTACCCCGATATAACGTGACCCGATATAACACGAATTCGGATATAACGTGGTAAAGCAGCGCTCCGGGTGGGCTGGGCTGCGCGCTCCGGCGGATCAAAGCAAGTTCGATATAATGCGGTAAGATTTTTTTTTTTTTTTTGGCTCCCGAGGACAGCGTTCTATTAGGGTAGAGGTGTCTTTGGCACATTGAGTGACATTTGAGTTATTTTTTTTCTGAACAATAGAACAGTTTCAAGTGTACGTAGTCTCTTGGTCTATCCAAAGCCGTGATCAAGTGTCTTGATGTTTTTGGTCTTTTGGCCTCGAGATGAAAACCTTGTCTTTGTTTCTGGGACCTTGAAGTGAAAAAATTCTTTAAGTATCTCTCAACTTTCAAACACTTTTAACTAAATACTCTGATGCGCGAACAGGACTCTTAGATGCCCACCTGACTTTTGTTTTTCCTAGCTTCAATCGAAGTTAATTTTTGCTGAGGAATGTGCAAGTCATGTTGGGGAAGCATATTACATGTTAAAATGTAAAAGATTTGTGGTGGTGAGCATCAGCTTAATGGCAGAGCTTTACTACCTTTCTGTTTTTAAAAATAAAATAAAATAAGACAATATCATCATTTTGAGAAAAAATATGCATTTATACTGTGTTTTGTCTTTCCCACAGAGTAAAGCCATCCCCATCTGAAGGAGCCAAGTCCAATCCATCCAAGAGACACAGAGACAGATTGAATGCAGAGTTAGATCGCTTGGCTAGCCTCTTGCCTTTCCCACAAGATGTTATCGCCAAACTGGATAAACTGTCTGTGCTTAGGCTTAGCGTGAGTTACCTGAGAGCCAAAAGCTTCTTTGATGGTAAGAGATTAGGATTAAATTTTTCTTGGACTGCTTTTAAAATATTGTTTGGTGCTGTATGTTACTTTCACCTGTTTTAGTATTTAAAATTGTTGAATGTATCTATACTTTAATGACATGTCAAGTTGTATAGTGAGGTAACTGTACAAAATCAGTTGTCCAGTTTCTTGAAAACCAGATGTATCTATTTACATTTCACTTAACTCGTCATCTTGCATTTGGAAGCAATATTGCCTTGAATGAGTCTTCCAGACCTTTTCCTCAAACTTGCAAAGGTTTTGAGGAGATGAGATAAAACTATTGAACTTTTTCAGATGGATTTCCCATCAGTTGGATGTTTTCCTTGATGCTGCAAAGATAATTTTGTTATGAATAAAATGAATGAACACCTGCAACCCCATCACATAATTGGTTTATCATCTAACTTGCTTGAGGAAGCTAATTTCTGAAACTAATGGAGGCAAATTCTCTCCTGTGCTCAAGCTGTGCTTGGCAAAGGAAAATGGAGGCGGGGAGGGAAACATAAGGAACCAGTTAAGGTTCCCTAGTTCTGTGGGCTGGTCTGCATTGACCCTGGTTCTGGTTTGAGTTATAGCATTCTTGGAGCTATTCTGTGTTGGGCCAACAACATACGATAACCCCCACACCAGCTGAGAATTGGTGGAACGAAGCTCTGTGCCACCCTTTCATTCCCTGGCCTGCCCCCTTGGCTGAAATGGAGTGGTTGGCTTAACGCCAGCTGAGAGCTTTCCCCTACTGTGGAAATTCTTATCTGACCAGTTGTGGCCAGAATCTGGCTCTCTTATGACAGTGCAAAAGAACGATGCCCACAAAAAAAATAGTTGATTATTATATCATTTGCTGTGATAGTATTGAAGTTCTAATTGCATGTATAATTAAAGTTTATCATCCATATTAGTATAGGAATTGAACTTAAAATGACGCTAATCTTTTAGTTGAAAGCCTTTTCAGCAAAATTGTGTGACATCATTTTAACCTCCTCTGTCTTTAACACCACACTACAAGTGTAATGTGGTCTGATCTGATTGCTCGCTACCTTTGATAATCATGCTACTGAAGTCTATCTTTCAGATAGTTTTGCCTTTTTCTTTTCTCCAAAGTACTTCCTCTAGGTCAGTGGTTCCCAAACACTTTCTCTGCATAACCTCATTTTCAGTTGTATTCTTTTCTGTAACCCCTTTTCAGTTGTATTATTTTCTGTAACCCCAGACAGCATTGACACCATTTTCAAATGGCATCCTCCATGCAGCAAGACCTTGCATGCGCTGTACACCTAATATCACACTGCATAAAGGGTGCCATTTTGCTTTACAAAATGGTGTCTTCCTCACAGCATTACCTTGTACACGCAGTGTGTGCGAGATCACACTGCATGGAGGGTTCCATTTTGTTGAGCAAAATAGCATCCTCCATGTGGCATGACCTTGCACGTATTTTGTAAAATGCTGTTCTCCACACACTTGTAATTGCTGCCACCCTATCTGCTAAGGGAGCAACCTCACTTGGGGTCGTGACACACAGTTTGGGAACCACTGCTCTAGGTTGCCTTGACTGGTTGTTAGCAGTCAGCAGTCCCGCATATAGTGTGTGTATTTTATTATTGATAACTAATTTTGCAAAGTGTCTTTTTAAAAAAGTTGAGCTTTTTTGTCTTTGAGTAAACAGTCGATGCAGTGTTTTTTGTGGTAAATCAGGATAGTACAGCATGTGACATTTGTTCAACACTACAGCTTGTCAAAAAGTTTGGTGGAACAATTTCTCATCATATCACAGGGTGGCTGGCCCCTTTAAGGGGAAATAGTGCCTCAACCCATCTGTGTTAAGATTAGTTCAGCTTTCCAGGTAGGCACGAATGAGGTCATGCAGTTAACTCAGGTGAGGGCTGGGGAAATGGAGGAGGAACAGACAGACTCCAGAAGGAGTCGTTGTGGAAGGGAGCTCAAGTGGAAGCTGGTAGCACTCCAGCTAGGAGGCCCAAGCACAACAGAAGCCTGCAAAGCTGTAGCTGGCTTGAGGAAGCAGCTGCAGGTGTGTGCTGCAGGGAATGAGACTGACTCTAGTGGAGAGTAAAGGAAGTTGGATTGGGTCCTGGAAGACCAAACTCCTGACTCAGAAGAAGACACATTGAACTGAGAGACAGACTGAATTTGAACCCAGCACTGTGAAGAAGGGCTGGGGACTCCTGATTCAAGGAGAGGGACACTGAACTGGGGTGAGGGCCTAGAGGGCCACTGTTTTAGGACTAAATAAATTAGACCCCTAGAAGGAGAGTGTGTTTATTACCTTTGGACTGTGATCGTGAGTTGTTATTGAGGAGCCCTGTGAGAGAAGGGAAACTGAGACATTATAACAACGAGGAGTCCGTTGGCATCTTAAAGACTAACAAATTTATTTGGGCTTAAGCTTTTGTGGGTAAAAAACCCACTTCTTCAGACCATGCATCTGAAGAAGTGGGTTTTTTACCCATGAAAGCTTATGCCCAAATAAATTTGTTAGTCTTTAAGGTGCCACCAGACTTCTTGTTAGTTTGTATCCACAAAAACAACATGGCTACCTCTCTGATACTTGAGGCATTATGTCATCCTTGGCCATGAGAGTGTGATTGGGGGCAGCCGGCCTGTGACATATCAGAAAATGCTGTTTAGATGAAATCAAGATCTCATAGGACATACCAATTTTCATTGAAATTTTACAGCAGTTTTTTTGAAATACTTCATTTTGATAAGATAGAAATGCTTTGTTTTGACTTTTGTTATAATTTATAATATAAAAGTTGAAACAAAACACTTCAGCCTCATCAAAACAACAAAATGTTTCTGAATATTTTGTTTCACCCAAAATTCCAGGATTTTGACTTTGTCCTGACTTAGGCCAAAACCAGATTTCAGAATTTCCCATTACAGTTTTTGCAGTTTTCAGCCTGCTCAAGAACATTATGTGGTCTTTCAAGGTCCAGAAATTGCCCAGGGTTTTTATGAATCCTGCACAGACTTATGGGTCTTAATCCAAGTTCACACTGTATAGTAATATGCCAAAAGCCTCATATTCAGCCCCCTACTTTTGTCTCATATATGTTGTTTGTGTCTGACTAGCTTGGATGTAGAGGTAGTTTCCATCCATTTAAAGTGATTAACTGGAAATAGTTTTCTTGACACCAAAAGAGCCTGAATGCATTTAAAGTGATTAATTGGAAATAGTTTTCTTGGCACCAAAAAAAGCCTGCATGCACTTTTGAATGTAACATATCTATAAGTAGATCCAGATTTGTAGCAGGGTTGTATAGCACTGAACAGAAAATCCTATCTTTTTGGTTGAAAGCCATTTCGCACAACAATATATATTCAGCACATTGTACTAAGAGATGAACAGTTGCAGCTATATGCTTTGTATTTAATCTTGTTGCATAGTAGTGAGTTCTTTAGCAGAGTTCTGATTAATTTGCCTGTCTGTAGTGAATATGAATTGTTTATTTTCAAGCTACAAGAAATATGTGCATGTACTGCAAGTTACAGCAGTAACTTTGAATTAGTGTGTTCATATTCTGAACTAGAATTATCTGAGACTTAAAAAATTTGTGCACGTTGTACAACAATAAGGTGTCTTGAAGTCTTGAAAAAAATGATAATGGGAGATAAGTTTGAAAAGAGGAGTCATTTTTGGATATAAATTGGATTTATTAAGAACAAATTTAAGGATATCTGACTATACTATAAGGAAGGTAACATTGAAAAATGGTACCAGGATTTCATGAAAGATAACTCCTATTATTTCTTATGCTGGTGACTTACTGTTGCAAACATTTATTTTTATCTTATCCCCTCTTTTTGCTCACCTTAGCTTAACGTATGGTTTATCACTGAATATCTTGCGGCTTCCCAATAAAGGAATAGAGTTCACACATTCAGGATTTTAAAGCTTTAAAAGGCTAGTGTGGCTGCTATTTGGTGTATTTGATGTGTTTTTTTTTTTTTTTTAAGTTTTCAAACTCCTTTCTCCTTTCATGTATTGTTAGACTTTAGGTAAACTCCTCTGGCTCAACTAGTTGGGTATTTAACTCATTGTCCTAATTGAGGAGAATGGAGCGGGCGGGGGGGGGGGGGGGGGGGGAGGAGTGTCACCTGAACAGTGTCTGATCTAATTTCTACTGAAGTGTGTAAATCTCTGCTCATTTGGAATGTTCATGACTATCTCTGGTGACGAAAACAAGTTGAAATTTTATTTAAATTTCTCCTTGTTAGAGAAGACTATATAGATATGTACATGGCTAATAAAGCATTGTCTTTAATCAATCTGAGTAATAAACACTTTTTTTTTTTTTTTTAGAGTCCTACAACAGGGCAATTAGTGTTACTTTTATAACTGAAGGGCTTTGTGATATGTGAAATGGAGTGTAGGGTGTCTTGTACGTTTTGACAGAAGATTAATTATGCGTACATTTAAAATTGTGTGTGTGTGTGGTGTGTGTGTGTGTGGTGTGTGTGTGTGTGTGTGTGTGTATGTATATGTATGTATGTGTGTGTATATATATATATATATATGTATGTATGTATGTATGTGTGTGTGTGTGTATATATATATATATATATACACACATACATACATATACATACACACACACACACACAATATATATATATATATATATATTATATATATATATAATTTATTTATTTATTAAAAAACAATTTCTTAAATTACAGGATAAAAAAAAATCATTTAAATTTTCATCCTGTTGTGCTTGGCAGTCTGTAATTTCAGCAACTAAGTGAAGAGCAAAGAAATTCTGACATTCTAGTCTTCAACACAGTTGTTTGTAAATATGTAGCACCCATTTATGCTATAGTTTAAACTCTGTTAGATGTGAAAAGAGAAGCATGACCTGTGTTAAAAATATTGCTCATCTTTCGTGGTGGTTCATCTTACATTGTGACTAGTGTCTTCATTTATTGCTTCAGATGGAATTGTGAGCATAGGGCTTT